TGGTTTGAATCTCATCCAGCACAAATCAGAATAGAGTTTGCATTGTCTCCCTGTGTTTGCTTGGGTTTCCAAAGAGTACTCTGGTTTCCTTGCACACTCTAAAGGCATGCTGGTAGGCTCCCATCTAAAATGGCCCTAGTATGTGTGGATGAATTAGCTATACACATATGTTATCACTTTCTGCATGCTGTTCTCAAGCTTGAGTGGTTGGGGAGGATTGATGAAAGACCTGGCAATCTACCTTGTAAAAAATATTTCACCAAGGAGATACCCGAGTAATGCCTAGAGAGCTGTCCCGTAGAAATGCCAAGGGTCATACATGACTGAACGGATATATACATAAATACATTACATGCTGGATTTTATTAATAAGCTAAGACTTACAGGTAACTCATTATTTGTTTCCAGCCATTTTTTGATCCAGGCACTCTTGCTAGATAAAAGGGCAAGGTCATTGACCTGACATTTCTATTCCCTGCCTCCAGCCTGTGATTGGACAGTGAAGACGAATAAGCGTGCTGAGGAAGTCATCATTTTGCTCTCTGCTCCTCCAAGAATGTTCAGATATTTGACAGCTTTGTACAAAGCAATATGGTTCTGATTGGCTGAGAGGCAATTTAGTAGTTCTATGTAAATAAAACATTTAATTATTTTGCTTTTGGATGCATAACAGGACAAAAGAGTGTTTTTCATCCATTTTACTATAACCTCATTGCTTTACAGCAGCTGTTGCAAATACCTAACCCCCTTAATGTCTGATCCACCAGAGGATCTTGCAAACTCTTCAACTGATCCACTTTTCACTGGTACCTTAACAACCTGCTCATCCTTGTATGCTGCATGTGCATCCAAGGGCTAAATATCTTAAAATAAAAGAAAGCAAACACAGCCACAGGATAATGCAGATAATCATCCATGAGAATAAAATTGCACTTACAAAAGGATGACTTGGTTTGAGCAGATTGCAAGTAAAAGCATCATCAAAAGGGCAAGGACTCAAAACATACCAGTAGTAGAGATATTTTTCTGACAGATTCCACTTTCGTTCCTATATGGTGATGTTCCCCTGGCTCATTCCCCTTTAGAATCCTCTTCAGTTTTGCCTTCCTGCCTTGTACGTCTCCTTCTGCTGGCATTTCAGTGAGAGTTAGCAGTGTACCTGTAAGGTTTCATGCACACTGGGCTTTAAATGTTTTGGCGTTTCATTATTTCATTCATTCATTTCATAAATTATTATTTTGGCCAGTGAAATGAATTAGTGCTCAAGCACCAAAGGCCCTTTAGGCACACGTAGTGAGCGGGTGGACATGCACTTTACAGGCTTTTAGTGGCAAAAAAACCCCCACTGCCAGCGCATTTAGAAGCCACAGCATTTTGACAGAAGAAACACGTGCCTAAAGGTGTGTAAACATGTCTAAATGCACATTACTGCTAGGCGTGTTTAGTGATTGAGAGCTAATTAATTTCAATGGCCAGAATAAATTATAATTCTGGCCAATGAAATGAATTAACACCTAAGCGCTCAATGTGCCTAAACCCATCTAAACTAGCCTAAATGTGTTTACAAAAACACCATGGGAAAGGAGTTCAGAAGAGCTGGGCAAACGCTACGTGTGCCTGAAGCCTAAGATGTAACCTTACCCATAATGGGATTTGCTTTTACCTGAGTCTGACCAAGTAATCATTTAATTACAATTTTATTCTTGTTTATTTTATTAAAATGTGATTCATCTGCGCTATCCAGTGTGCTCTGTTTGCTTTCATTTACCACTGAGGATCTTATACCGGAGGGTTTTCCTTTAAAAGGTCAGTCCAATTAAATATGATATTTCATTTTTTGGTATTTCCCAAGCCTGCAAATGAAATTTATATAATGGGGAATGCAGCTGGAAGAATGGGGAAATCCAGAAACACTCCTGCTGTGCCACTGAGATGTCAGGGTGGGAGGGATAGGGGATGGAGATGGGAACTATGGCATCTCCTCATTTCTAAAGTTCCCAGGTAATATAAGAGAGCTGGTGATTCTACTGTTCCATTTCCATCTAGAGCTGGCCAGATTTTCTTTCAACCCTTCATACAGAAATTCAGAAAAATCATTCATCAGAACATTCTTGCCATAATTGAGTCAACTAGTTTCATTCAAAAGCCCCCACATATTTGTCCAGACCTGCAATTTGAGTAGAATCCCGGAGTACTTCAAAAGGTTTCATTACAATATGTAATTTCTCAAATAACAACCATATTAATAACTAGAATTTCACTCTTTCGAGGAACATTCTCCATCCTGCTCCTTTAAAAAAAATGTTATCACTGCTGTTGAAAACGAGTGTTGATTTTACCCCACTAAACATTAGAAAATTAAACAACCATTCCAAAAACAAATTCTTGAACAAAGTTTCTTGCTCCCCCTCCCTTTCAAGTTCACCCATAGCAATTCATTTACTGTGGGGACACACATGCAGGCTCAATCCTGAGCTGTGTGCATCTATTGGTATTGTATCCAGGTTAGTACCAGGAAACTTCCTTTTTTCACTTTCTCTCTTTCTTTCTTTCTTTCTTTCTTTCTCTCTCCTTCCTTCCTTCCTTCCTTTCTTTCTTTTCTTTTTCTTTCTTTCTTTTCTTTCTTTTCTTTCTTTCTTTCTTTCTCTCTCCTTTCTTTCTTTCTTTCTTTCTCTTTTCTTTCTCTCTCTTCCTTCCTTCTTTCTTTCTTTCTTTCTTTCTTCTCTCTCCTTTCTTCTTTTTCTTTCTTTCTTTCTTTCTTTTCTTTCTTTCTTCTCTTTCTTTCTTTCTTTCTCTCTCCTTCCTTTCTTTCTTTCTCTCTCCTTCCTTTCTTTCTTTCTCTCTCCTTCCTTCCTTCTTTTCTCTGCTGCTCAGCTGTCTTGTTACTACCATGCTGAGAGTTTAATGGTTAGTACTCATTCATGTATTTCATTCACTTCTCTACCCTCACCCATACTCCCCTCTTTGTTACACTCAAAGACACTGCCATCTAATGGCCACACATTGGTACTCCAGCAGCACTGCAGCCTGTGTGTTCAGAGGATTAACCCTGGAGAGCAGAACTGAGCTCTCCATTTAAAACCCTGAAGCAGGCGAGAGACTCTCCGCAGATATGGTGTCACTAAGTGTACATTGTTGCTTGTTTAGAGATTAATAGCCCCACATAAACAGGTATATAATGAATCTTAAGTGCGGGGACGGATGCTAAGTGTAATTTGTATAAATTATGTGAGCATGACAAACAGGTAATTATCTGCTGGTGCTGTATAATAAGTGCAGATGTGTTTATATATAGAATTATTAGTGGAGATATAAAAACGTAACTATCTTTTAGAAATGGTGCAATATGACTGTACAGTAATGAAACTTCTTACACCACCTAACTTTCTAAAGAAAACAGGAGGCTATGATTTGAAGATAAAAATCCAGGCTAAAATAGTAACATGGCCCCCCCGCTACTTTCTTTGGCTCATTCCCTATAGCCATAGACGAAAGTGGCTGTACAGTCCTTCATGCATCTGAATTAATATAAATAACTGTTATTTGGTAAAGCTGAAAAAAGAATTCCTTAGCAGCATGCCTTTCAGGGCTAAAGTAGAAAAAGTTGCTAGGCAACACGACAGGAAATGTTACCTGTGATTCATTACTTTACATATCTTCTTCCTGCTGCAGTATGTACAATCTTCCAGAGAGTTTTATGGAGCTGTTCTAATATATAGCCAAAAGTTTAGGACCACCTGACCATCTCACCTATATAATCCTGTAGAACATTCTATTGCCAAACCATGGGAATTAATACAGAGTTGTCCCCACTTTGTGGCCGTAACCACCTCTGCTCTTCTGTGAAGGCTTTCCAAATGATCTCGGGGGTTTGCTTGTGGAAATGTGTGTCCATTTAGTCAAAAGAACATTTTTGAGGTCAGGAACTAATGTCATACATGATGTATCAATGATCCAATTCATCCCAAAGCTGTTCAGTAGGGTTGAGGTCAGGGCTTTGTACAGGACACTGGAGTTCATCCACACCAAACTCATCAAACCTTGTCTTTATGGAGTTGGCTTTATACACAAAGGCACAGTCATGTTGGAACTGAAAGGGGTCTTCACCAAACCATTACCACAAGGTTAGAATTGCATAATTTTCTACAAATTGTATTTGTATACTGAAATATTGACAGCACTCGTCACTGGAAACCCCTGATTTTGCAGGAGCATGGACAAATGAGTAAAAGACTTTGAGGGTTTGCTCCAGGGGTAGGGATACTTTAACCACTTCAAGTCCGGACACTTTTACCCCCTTCCTGTCCAGGCCAATTTTCAGCTTTCAGTGCTATCACACTTTGAATGACAATTGCTCGGTCATGCAACACTGAACCCATATGAATGTTTTAGCATTTTTTTGAGACAGATAAAACTTTATTTTGGTGGTATTTTTCACCACTGGGATTTTTATTTTTTTGCTATATAAATGAAAAAGTCCAAACTTATAGAAACAAAAGTGTTTTCCTTATAAGATTTTGCAAATAAATAATCTTTCTTCATAAATATTAGCCAAAATGTATTCATCTATCTTTTTAGAAAAAAAAAAAAAACCCAAATTAGTTTATAACCAAAAATTATATTTTTTCTAAACATTTTTTTTACATTTTAATTTTTTTTATTATATTATTATTTATGGGTTTTGTTTTTTTTTAACATGTCAGCCTAGCAGTACAGTGTCACCATAGTGACACTATACTACTTGTGGGGGGTGATGAAGATTTTTTTTTTCTTTTTTTACACTGATTGCTTTTACACCCATAAAAGATGTAAAAGCAATCATTTCTCCTCTCTGGCTGCATTCCTGCAGCCATTGAGAAATACTGTGAGAGCTGTGATTGGTCACAGCTTGTCACATGGTACAAGGCTGTTGTGAATAGTCTTGTATCATGTGACCTCTGTGATCATTCACAGATTTCACAAGTAGTAAGCAATGATGTATGTAGTTTACTACTATTCATGTGATCACTGATTGGCCAATCAGTGACCACATAAATCAGGACCTCGCACAGAGGTCCCATACAGCGATCGGTGTTCCACTGTGTCTGGAGGACAAAGTGGGCACCGATAGCGGTGCCGCACGCTCCCAGGGAGCGTGCACAGACAATGGATGTGGGAGGACATTTAGAAACGTCCACCCGCATCGGCAGCGATCCCGTCCGGCCATTTATCTACATGGGCCGGACGGGAAGTGGATAAGAGATATTTATGTAAAGTATAGTTATCCTTATAATCATTTTTCAGGCATGGTGGATTAGTAATTAGCAACTCTACGTTGCAGCAATGGGGTCCTTGGTTTGATTCCTAGATAGCACACTATATCCCTATGCCTGCATAGATTTTCTTCCACACTCCAGCGACATGCTGGAAGAATGTTTGACTCCTGTCTAAATTGGCCTTAGTATGTGTGTGTTTGAGATAGGGATCAAAGATTGTAAGCTCTTTGAGGGCAGGGACTGATGTGAATGTTAAGTGCTGCATAAATTGTCAGCACTATATAATTGCCCTGTGAGTCTTAATGTTGTTATGCGTAAGTGTCCTATAGAATAATGCAGACTATGCAGCAATTTTATGATTTTAGTCACCTTCAGCCAGCTGTTGCAAAGATGATTGGACAGATCAAGACAATGTACCACCAATAAGGTATGCATTGTATGTGGCAGGGACGATGACGGTGCTGTTTGTATGGACATTGATACAGCTAATGTCCATGTGTAAAGAGGATATACATTTCACATGTGCTTGCAAAATGCCCTATGCTCAATTGTGAATTTTGAATTTTACAGGTTGGTAAGACTGCATGCCATGAACAAACATGTCTTCAAGGCAATGTGCAGTATTTTCAACGTTAATGTTTAACCAATTGCCCTCCAGAAGATTTACCCCCCTTCCTTACCAGGCCATTTTTTTGCGGTACAGCGCTGTGTTCTTCTAACTAACAATTGCGCGGTCATGCAATGCTGTACCCTAATGAAATTTACATATTTTTTCACCAAAAATAGAGCTTTCTTTTGGTAGTATTTGAACGCCTGTGCCTTTTTTAGGCTATAAATAAAAAAAGAAAGACTGCCAATTTTGAGAAAAAAAACAATATGTTTTACTTTTTACTAATAAACATGTCCTGTAAACAAATTTAAAAAATCAAATTTCGTTATAAATTTAGGCCAAAATGTATTCTGCTACACGTCTTCGCTAAAAAAAAAAATCCCAATATGAGTAAATTAATTGGTTTACGTGAAAGTTTTATAGCGTTTACAAATGGCCGTATAGATACTGGAAATGTTTTTTTTTTACTAGTAATGGCAGGGATCAGCGACTTATAGCAGGACTGCAGCGTGCATTCTGACACAGGGGGAACTGACTGACACTGTACTAATGACACTGGGCAGGAAGGGGTTAACATGTGGGGCGATCAAAGGGTTAACTGTGTGGTGTGTGCTGTATCACTAAAGGGGCTGTGTGTGTTTCATTGTAAGCATACTGCTTTGTATGGCTCTGCGATGCGATGCAGAGCCATACAAAGCAGAGTGCAGGAGCTGACAGGGGAGAGATCTGTATTGTTTACCGGGTGCCGGCGAGTAATCACTGGACTGGACCCGGTGATTGACAGCAGAGGACACGAATGGCAGCGCAAGTAGGGCGCGAGCACCCCCTAGTCATAACTGCAAAAACATGTATATATACGTGATTTTGTGCACCCGTGTTGCCCTGTAGCAGTATTTCTGATATAGGGTGGCGTGGAACTGGTTAAAGATATTATAAACCTTTCTACCTGCATCTTTTTTGTTTTACATACATAACATATATGTATCTAAACATCTAAAGCAAGCAAAATCCTCTCTTGTATTAAAAGAGGTATAGACTACAGAGAGAGAGAGATATCATTTACCCCTGTACAAATCATTAGTAACACCTCATTTGGAATATGCAGTTCAGTTTTGGGCACCAATTCACAAAAAGAACATTGGGGAACTGGAGAAAGTACAGAGAAGGGCAACTGAACTGATAAGAGGCATGGAGGAGCTCAGCTATGAGGAAAGATTAGAGGAACTGAATTTATTCTCTCTTGAGAAGAGGAGATTAAGGGGGATATGATCAACATGTATAATACATCAGTGTTTCATATAGTGAACTTGGTGTAGAGCTATTCACCCTGAGGTCATCATAGAGGTCAAGGGGGCACCCTTTACATCTGGAGGAAAAGAAATGTAATCTCCAAACACGGAAAGGTTTCTTCACAGTGAGAGCTGTGAAAATGTGGAATAGACTCAAAAAGGCCTGGATTCTTTCTTAGATACACAGAATATAACTGGATACTAACATTTATAGGTAAAGTCGATCCAGGGAATATCCGATTGCCTCTCAGGAGATCAGGAAGGAAGTTTTTTTCCAGCAGGTGCAAATTGGATCATGCTTTGCTGGGTTTTTTTGCTTCCTCTGGATCAACTGTAGGTATAGGATTATAACTTTTTTTTGTTTTCTATGGTTGAACTAGATGGACTTTTGTTTTTTTTTTCACCCAGACTAACTATGTAACTATATGCTTTGATCATCTAATTTCATGGTGCTATTTGTTGTCCTGTACACACACCCTATAGTAGACTAAATCTTCACATTCCATTGTCACAAGTTTATGTTTGTGTTCAAACATGAAGCATGTGGCAATGCAACACACAGGTTAATGCACAACTTCTGTCTGTAGTCTAAAAACTGACACTTCCTGTGAAGAAACTACATACCCCACTATCCATGGGTCTCTCAGTTTAGTGCTCTTCAGGTGAGAGCTGAAGAGTAATTAGATCTGACACAGGTGGAGCAATTAACAGAGAGCTCACCATGCTGTCTTTCATCACATTAGTACTCTCACATTTGTTATTCAACACAGAGCAAATTGTGAGGCATGAATTGTGAGCTAGAACAAAAAGTTGTCTTGTCCCGTTGACAAATAGGGACAAGTTAGGTGAATGAATACATTGACATAGGGGAATCGATCAGCCTTGACACTACAAACTGCAGCCACAGTAAATAAGCCCCTGATAACAAAGTTAGGTAAATGAACACCACAGGGTACATAACTACACTACCTAGGAAACGCAACAAAAGCATTTGAAGGTGTACAATGCCTTTAAAAAACTTTAATTTTTTTTCAGTTTGAAATTCTAATATGTCCATGGTGGCAGCAATATTTACTCATCATTTACTCCTGCTTTGCAGTACTACACAATAGTTGTACTTTAGCACGTCTTCTAACAATACAATTTTTGATTTGGACTACTCCTAGAAAACAACGCACTCCCTCTGTGGCTGGTATCTCTACAGCTGTTAAGGAAGTTAGTAGACTGTAAATTAAGTGTGTGTGCCCTTTACTCACCAATCTATAGTTCTTTGTATTAATTATATTGAAAACTAAACATTTTTACTTTAGTGTTTGAGAATGTATTGAAGGGTTAGAACCTCTGTCAGGTTTATGCTGCTCTGTGCCCCCATTGAGGGATTCACCATCTGTAGTTCTCCAGGTGACCATTTTTCCTGGGACAGAAAGTGATGGGAAGTCAAAACTTATAGTTATTGCAGGAACAGGAATAGAGGGGAAATGATCCACTAGGGACACCTGTTCTATTGACAACTGTCTAAAATGCAATATTCCCTCACTCAGATTTTTACTCATTTCCTGTTGTGTCTCCACTGGAAATCTCCCCATGGGACTGAGACAGCAAAAGAAACTCCATCAGGGGTGTAAACTGTCCCCTACTCTATTATTTATTTATTTCAGGTATTTATATAGTGTTGTCAATGTATGCAGTGCTTTACATACAGTATATTTTGTATATTCACATCAGTCCCTAACCCTCAAAGGGTGTACAATCTAAGGTCCCTAACTCACCTTCATACATACACATACTAAGGCCAATTTAGACAGGAGCCAATTTCACCTACCAGCATGTCTTTGGAGTGTGGGAGGAAACTGGGGGTACATAGAGGAAATCCATGCAGGCACAGTGAGAATATGCAAACTCCAGGCAGGTGGAGCTGTGGTTGGGATTTGAGCCAATGACCCGCTAGCAATGCTCACTATACAGTCTCTAGAGATTGCTCAGGAACATGTATCACAACTTGGATTTTTTCCTAGATTTGAATTAGAGCTCATCCCTAAAATTTCATATTACCATAACTAACAAACATGTTCATGTAATTTCAAAAGTCAAAAATCTTCTTTAAATCAGCAGCTTTCATTAAAATACCACCTGGTGATCCTGCCATAAAAGTCCTTATGTCGGCACTTCTAGTTATGTTGTGACAACTGTCTTCCAATTGCACTACTGCATTGTCACCCTGTCAAACCCATCGCAAGCGGAGACAACAAGCAGCAATGCTGACACACATTGCTCAGGCATGGTTCACTGTTGTCACCATCAGGAAACCACTCTAGAACAATGCTGTGCTGCTGAAATAAGTAGACAGCATTATTATTATACAGGATTTATATAGCGCCAACAGTTTGCTCAGCACTGTACAATATAAAGCGAGATAATACAGCACTGATACAGCTCAATACAATGGCCAGCACAGTGGCTAAATGGTTAGCACTTCACCTTGCCAGTACTAGAGTTGTTGGTTCAAATCCCAGCCACAGCACCGCCTAGCATTTGCATGTTCTCCCTGTGCCTGCATGGGTTTCCTATAGGTACTCTGGTTTCCTCCCACACTCCAAACACATGCTGGTAGGTAAATTGGCCTTAGTATATGAATGTAAGTTAGGGACCTTAGATTGTACACCCCTTGAGGGTTAGGGACTGATGTGAATGTACAATATATATGTAAAGTGCTGCATAAATTTACAGCATTATGTAAGTACCTGAAATAAATAAATAATAATACAAGATGGTTAGGAGGGTCCTTCTCTTTGGACAGTTGCTGGAAGAGGCTAGAGGAACAATAATACCAACTTTCTCAATCTCTGATATTCTACATCTTAGTGGTGAAAATATCAATAGCTAGATCCTGGAAATCACCAACAATTTAGTACTAAATAAAACCAAAATCTCTTGGATTACAATTCATGAAAACATGTATTTTACATGACAGATTACTAAAGATTGAGAAAATCTTGGTTTTTTGGAAACAATTTACCATAAACTGGAGCTGTGTTGCATAATAACTAACCGGCTTCTATCTTTCGCTTTTAATTAGGCTAGGTTCTCTCTAGCCT